ACCTTATCCAAGCCATGATGTTTTCAAATACTTCCTATGCATCTTAAAGCTGGACAACGAATAAAGATGACAGAAGAATTGCTGCCTTTGAGTTGTAGTGTTGGAGAATTGTCCTGAATACCCTGTGGACTGCTGAAAGAGTAACCAATCTGTGTCAGGGGAAGTACAACTAGGGTGCTTCTTAGAAGCAAGAATGGTGAAACTTCGTCTCACTCACTGTGGACATGTTATCAAGTGGAACTAGTTCTTGGGAAAGGACATTTATACTGGGAGATGAGAATAAGCAGATGATCTTCAACAAGAAGAGTTGACATGGTGGCTGTGATGATAAGCTCGAGTGTATCACAGATAGGATGGGACAGGAGAGGGCAAAGTTCAGATCTACTTTTCACAGCGTTGCTATCAGTTGTAGTGGACTTGATGGCACCGAACAACAACTTTGCCCTTTATTCCAGGAATGATTTTTAATCCTCATCAGATATGATCAGCTGCTATGGAGTCAGCCCTTGGCTCGTGGTGACCCCCACACAGAAAATGCTGCCTGGTCCTGCACAATCTCAATCACCAGTTGTAAATCAGACCTTTGTGACTCACTGGGTATCCACTAACTGACCGATCCCCAGGCCTATCTTCCTAGTCCATATTAATCTGAAAACTATAATATATATATAAACTTGTTCAAAACTGTGATAACAAGTTTCCAGTGCTAGACGTGTGATGGTTCTACATGAGACACATTAACTGTGAATCAAACTAAAGCTCTTCATATGAAAGGTGAGAACCCTACCAATGCTATTCCCCTTTAATTCTCATCAAAAGGACCTTAAAATTGAAAAACATTTTCCTTGCATGAGTCAAGGAAGAAAAGATCACTTTGATGTATCACATTTTGGCAAAGTTTTTCATTTCAAACGTTTATGTTCTTTACAGAAAGACCAAAAGTTTAAGGGACTTGAGACCTCCATAGGCCACTTCCAACATTCCAGAATAACACAGAAGCAATTCCAGAGTTTCCCTCCCAGCGTTTGATGTCCCAGCAAATCATATCACAGACTTTAAGGACTATTATGGCTGCATCAGGAATCCCTGGTTGCTGCAAATGGTTAACATAATTGGGAACTAACTGAAAGACTGGAGGACTAAGTCCACCCAGGGGCTTCTTGGAAGAAAGACTTGGCAATCTACTTCCAAAAGAGAGCAATCATTTCAAATACTATCAAGCACAGCTTTATTTCACACACATGCACTAGAATCCACCCAACAGCAACTCTTAGTTTTTTTTTTATATGTCTGCATTAAACTGAGCACAAGAGTGGAAAAGGTGGTCGTCCTCCTAGGAAAGGATGAAATAATTCATTTTCCTATATGGTTTATGTTTATTTGTAGTTAGGGACTTTTTAAAATTATTTCTATTATTTCCATTTTTTTAATTTATTTCTTTTTATAAGCTAACATACAGTCAATTCAAGATACTATTCCTTATACACCAGAAAAAAATATATATTCTCTTTTGTTGAGTAAAATACTCTGTTTAAGTCTATGAAGTCAAGTTGATTAATCAAAAAACTGATATTTGAGTGGATTATATTTGGGGGTAGGGGGTGGGGTTTGGGGAGGTGCGGGGGGAGATTGTGTACCAATGAGGGAGTTTTTCTTTTGCTTT